TTCAGTTCACTTACTGCACATGTGTGGACACTAGGGGTGTTCAGGTCAGTACCTGGTGACACCTCCCCTTGCAGCCGTCATTGCTCGACACCGCCTTGGAAGGGATTGTACATGTCGTCGGATTTTTGCTTGGGGAATTCTTCACCATTCCTCCTGAAACGCGTTGGCAAGCTCTTCAAGTGTCTGAAGACGATGGTGACGTTTACAGACGCGTCGATCAAGTTCGTCCCATAGATGCTCGATCGGGTTCAGATCAGGCGATTTGGAAAGCCAGGAAAGGACACTGGCGTATGCATTGGCGAGATAGGTTAAACAGTGGGAGGTGAGCCCTCAGCACTTGGTCGATGTAGCAATTTGCTGTAAGATTGCCTTGAATCACCACTAGCTCTGATCTACCAGTGTTGAACATGGCTCCCCATACCATGTCGACCGGAACGCAGGTCGGCGCAAAACGTTCGTGTCGACGTCAGTGGACAGGTTGTCTCATATCCCGTCGCTGCAGAAGGAAATGCGATTCATCACTGAAATCAAACGCGTCGCCAGTTCCTTGGGTTCAATGCCTGTACCCCGTTGCACCATTGGACACGTCGTTGTCGGTGTAGTCGTGTCAGGACAGGTCCGACTTTTGGTCGATATGCTCGAATCCCCACTTCTCTCAGGCAATTTCTGATGGTTTGGTCCGACATTCTTCAAAAACCAGGCACCTGCCCTGCAGTGTCCGTTGCTGTAGTAAATCGATAACGTAGGGGAAACACCCGGATGAATCGGTCCTGAGCAGGAGTGGTCACTCTTGGTCTTCCAGTTCTAGGGGGACGGTGGGGTAGTCTAGTGGTTAAAGTGTTCGCTCGTCACGTCGAAGGCCCGGGTTCGATTCCCCACATGGGTGCAATGTGTGAAGCCCATTTCTGGTGTCCCCCGCCGTGATATTGCTGGAATATTGCTAAAAGAGGCGTGAAACTAAACTCACTCACTCACTCACTCACTCCACTTCTAGGGCGATCTGGGGTCGAATTGAAGCGGGTATATCGATGCCATAATGGAGATATGGTGCTGTGGTGGACGTTGAAGTGTCTTGCAACGGCAGGCTGAGACTCCCCTGCTTCCTAACGTTCAATGGCGATATTTCGGTCAGTAGCATTCAATATTGGCATTTGTCATCTTAGTTTACGTTGTAAATTTCGTAATGAAAAGATGAACTTGGTTTGGTCTTTTACAGTCGATGTCTCTACTCATGTGTCCGACACATTGCACGTGCGTTACGTAGAAAACGTTTTCTGCATGCACTTTTCATTTATGGTCTTCATATGTGTGTGTGTGTGTGTGTGTGTGTGTGTGTGTGTGTGTGTGTGTGTGTCCGTCCGTCCGTCCCGAGCATCCGTATTGTCATGCTCTCCATAAGCAATGGATACTTCAATGTGTATTTGATTCTGGAATTGGGTATTCACACAAACCACTTTATAAACTGCACGTGACTTAAACTTCGTGTATATTTTGTCGATAATGTACTTGGCGCACTTACATTGTCCAGCAAACCTGTACTTAAACTGCCGAGAAGTATTATTGAACAGTGAAAGTCCTACGTGCACGAAAGGTGTCTATAGGTGTCTATATATCACTTGATTGAATCTCTAGTCGAATACGCTTAGTTACATAGATATCCCACAGACAAATAAAGACATCAATTATGTAGATAAGGCATATCATCCACCTAATCAATTTCGCCGATCCTTTGTACAGTGCTGGTATATTTACACCGTAATCTTGTCAATATCATGTCTATTTCAACTGACATTAATGGAACACCATGTAAGTTATCGCTGTATCAATACAAGGTGTCAGTGTAGCTACCGTCATGATTACTAAGATCAATTTATGTTGCTGACATTGACGATATGTGAAATGTATTACCCGGGTATTTGACAGGTGGCTATCAAGTGTGTAGCCTTCAGATTCCCTAATCATCCAGGCCGACACCATGGTCTCTGAGACGGTTGTTTATGTTTCACAATTCAACACTGACGTTAAGGAAAGGTACAATTCAGGGAACAATTACGCCAACTCGGAAACAATATTTCCACGTTAAACACAAACACTGTATATAGTTAAATATTAACGTTAACCGGCGCCTGACACGCACCTTGAATTCTATACTTCCCATGGAGTTGAAAATGGAAATTGCTATACATCGCCACATGGTCGATAGGTTTCTCAATTCAGTGACTAAGCCTTTCACAGATCGAGCCTGGACCAAGCAAACCGTCGCTTGGTATCACGAGCAACAATTGGGAATATGGACGCGTTACGGTCCCAGCTTTTGGGATATGACGGCAGCATATGTCGCGGTATGACGGTCCCATCTGTAGTGGTATGATAGTCCCATATGTCATAGTATAACAGTCCCATCTGTCGGGGTATGACACTTCCATCTGTCGTGTTATGACTCTCCCGATGTAGGGGTATGACACTCCCATCTGTCAGGGTATGGCGGTCCCATCTGTCAGGGTATGACGGTCCCATCTGTCAGGGTATGACGTCCCATCTGTCCTGGTATGACGTCCCATCTGTCGGTGTATGATAGTCCCATCTGTCGTGGTATGACGGTCCCATCTGTCGTGGTGTGACGGTCCCATCTGTCGGTGTACGATAGTCCCATCTGTCTGGGTATGACGGTCCCATCTGTCGGGGTATGACGGTCCCATCTGTCGGGGTATGACGGTCCCATCTGTCGTGGTATGACGGTCCCATCTGTCGTGGTATGACGGTCCCATCTGTCGTGGTATGACGGTCCCATCTGTCGGGGTATGACGGTCCCATCTGTCGGGGTATGATAGTCCCATCTGTCTGGGTATGACGGTCCCATCTGTTGGGGTATGACAGTCCCATCTGTTGGGGTATGACACTTCCATCTGTCGTGTTATGACTCTCCCGATGTAGGGGTATGACACTCCCATCTGTCAGGGTATGGCGGTCCCATCTGTTGAAGCATGACACTCCCCTGATTTAGGGTATGACACTCCCATCTTTCAGGGTATGACGGTCCCATCTGTTGGAATATGACTCCCATGATGTAGGGGTATGACTCTCCCATCTGTCAGGGTATGGCGGTCCCATCTGTTGGAATATGACTCCCGATGTAGAGGTATGACACTCCCATCTGTCAGTGTATGACGGTCCCATCTGTTGGAATATGACTCCGATGTAGGGGTTTGACTCTCCCATCTGTCAGGGTATGGCGGTCCCATCTGTTGGAATATGACTCTCCCGATGTAGGGGTATGACTCTCCCATCTGTCAGGGTATGGCGGTCCCATCTGTTGGAATATGACGCTCCCCGATGTAGGGGTATGACACTCCCATCTGTCAGTGTATGACGGTCCCATCTGTTGGAATATGACTCCTGATGTAGGGGTATGACACTCCCATCTGTCAGGGTATGGCGGTCCCATCTGTTGGAATATGACGCTCCCCGATGTAGGGGTATGACACTCCCATCTGTCAGTGTATGACGGTCCCATCTGTTGGAATATGACTCCCGATGTAGGGGAATGACGGTCCCATCTGTCAGAGTATGACGGTCCCATCTGTTGGAATATGACGCTCCCTGATGTAGGGGTATGACACTCCCATCTGTCAGGGTATGACGGTCCCATCTGTTGGAATATGACTCCCGATGTAGGGGTATGACACTCCCATCTGTCAGGGTATGGCGGTCCCATCTGTTGGAATATGACTCCTGATGTAGGGGTATGACACTCCCATCTGTCAGGGTATGACGGTCCCATCTGTTGGAATATGACTCCCGATGTAGGGGAATGACACTCCCATCTGTCAGGGTATGACGGTCCCATCTGTTGGAATATGACGCTCCCTGATGTAGGGGTATGACACTCCCATCTGTCAGGGCATGACGGTCCCATCTGTTGGAATATGACTCCTGATGTAGGGGTATGACACTCCCATCTGTCAGGGCATGACGCTCCCACCTGTCGGTCCCAGATGTCCCTGATATGCAGGCAAGAATCACAGGAATACCAGTATTCTACTCGTTTCATAAATCATGTCAATTTACCACCTATGTCTGTCATGTTCAGTCAATGAATACAATTGGCATAAACAAATGAACGTTTAAACCTGAGTGAGTGTGTTTGTGTGGAAGTCAATGCAATGCCACCACCTGTGGATTGTACGGACGATTCTAACGGTTATTTCAATAAGCTCCAACTGTCTCTTGTAGGTTACATAGCAATTATTATAATTAAAAGCCTGTAACAATGATTACATATACTGTATGTGCAACTGTCTGGCAAACGCAATTAGCAATGCAAAGTCAACGCTGATTTACTTAAGTGCAATAAATGTAAACATGATACAATTGAAGATGAATACCATTTCCTCGTAGTTTGGCAATTTTATAACTGACTGACTGAGTTTGGTTTTACGCCGCTTTTAGCAATATTCCAGCAACATCACGGCGGGGAACACCAGAAATGGGCTTCACACATTGTACCCATGTGGGTATTCGAACCCGGGGTCTTCGGCGTGACAAGCCAACGCTTTAACCACTAGGCTACCCCACCGCCCCTGCAATTTTATAAAGAAAGCATTGTTAGCAACAAAAAGTGTGAAGCTTACTAAACATGTTGAGATACATTTGCAAAAACAACCTGTCCGTTCATGTATTATGTTAGTGTTAGTGTTCCAACAAGTGGGATATTAAGCTGAATAAACTTCCCGCTCTTGTTCGGAAACGGTGTTTCATAGTTTATACTCAAATCACTTAGTTACAAATCCCATAAGCTACACATTTTGTAATACATGAAAAACAATTCGATCAGTAAAAGTTATGTGTTCAACAAAGGCGATCACGATAGGCGTAAATGATAACGTGCTTTATCAAAAACATGTTGCCGGAAATAATATCCGCTAAATTGAGTTTAGATGTACATATATATACATGTTGCTCTGGTGCGGAAACCAGGCTGTAGACTGTTTCCGGCCTGTTAAACGTTGCGCCAGCACGCATCCTGATAACGGAGTGTCGACAATGTATACGACAGGTCAACTGGAAGACGTCGTTCTGTCGGGGTAAGTGTTATGTCACGTATGTAATGGAGACCCACACATCGCACTGTCTGTGATCATGTTTAGCTACAGTGCTTATGCAGACTCAGTAATTTATGATAAGCAATATTATTCCGTAAACAAACTGTTAAGATACATTTCAGCTATTTCAAGGGTATGTTTCATCTTCCTGGTGAATGGTGAAGCTCGATGATTCAGGATTTAAAATGTGTCCGTTTTCAGTGACAAGATTTGTTTCATGTAATACATATAATGGGGTTTCTATAGTCTGTTAAAAGCGAACTCCAACGAACAAGATGTACACTGTGTATGTTAAACAACCTGCAACTCTCTCTCTCTCCTCTCTCTCTCTCTCTCTCTCTCTCTCTCTCTCTCTCTCTCTCTCCTCACTTATCTTCTTCTCCTACTCTCTCACTTCTTCAACTTCTCCCTACTGTATCTCACCCTTCAACTTCTCCCCTACGTATCTCACCCTTCAACTTCTCCCTACGTATCTCTCCCTTCAACTTGTCCCTACGTATCTCACCCTTCAACTTCTCCCTACGTATCTCACCCTTTAACCTATTCCTCTACTTATCTCACCCTTCACCTTCTCCCCTACGTATTTCACCCTTCAACTTCTCCCTACGTATTCTCACCCCTTCAACTCTATTCCCCTTTACTTATCTCTTTAATCTTCAACTTCTCCCCCTACTTATCTCACCTTCAACTTCTCCCTACTTATCTCACCCTTCAACTTCTCCCTACTTATCTCATCCTTCAACTTCTCCCTACTTATCTCACCCTTCAACTTCTCCCTACTGTATTTCATATCCTTCAACTTCTCTCCCCTACTTTCGATCACCCTTCAACTCTCTCCCTACTTTGCATTCTCCCTTCAACTTGTCCCACCTACTTTATCTCACCCTTCAACTTCTCCCTACGTATCTCACCCTTTAACCTATTCCCCCTACTTATCTCACCCTTCACCTTCTCCCTACGTATCTCCCCTTCAACTTCTCCCTATTGCATTCTCACCCTTTAAACCTATTCCCCTACTTATCTCACCCTTCACCTTCTCCCCTACTTATCTCACCCCTCCAACTTCTCCCTTGCTTATCTCACCCTTCAACTTCTCCCCTACTTATCTCATCCTTCAACTTCTCCCCTACTTATCTCACCCTTCAACTTCTCCCCTACGTATTTCACCCTTCAACTTCTCCCCTACTTATCTCACCCTTCAACTTCTCCCCCACGTATTTCACCCTTCAACTTCTCCCCTACGTATTTCACCCTTCAACTTCTCTCCTACGTATCTCACCCTTCAACTTCTCCCTTGGTATCTCTCCCTTCAACTTGTCCCTACGTATCTCCCCCTTCAACTTCTCCCTACGTATCTCACCCTTTAACCTATTCCCCTACTTATCTCACCCTTCACCTTCTCCCTTACTTATCTCACCCCTCCAACTTCTCCCTTACTTATCTCACCCTTCAACTTCTCCCCTACTTATCTCACCCCTCCAACTTCTCCCTTACTTATCTCACCCTTCAACTTCTCCCCTACTTATCTCATCCTTCAACTTCTCCCCTACTTATCTCACCCTTCAACATATACCCTACTTATCTCACCCTTCAACTTCTCCCCCACGTATTTCACCCTTTAACTTCTCCCCTTCTTATCTCACCCTTCAACTTCTCCATACGTATCTCAACCTTCAACTTCTCCCTACAACCTTCTCTCACCCTTTAACTTCTTCCCCTCCTTATCTCTTACCCCTTCAACATATCCCCTACTTATCTCTCCACGACCTTCAACTTCTCCCCTACTACTTATCTCAACCCTTGAACACACACACCCTACTTATCTCCCACCCTTTAATCAGCGCCCTACTTATCTTACCCCATCAACTTCTCCCTACGTATCTCACCCTTTAACTTCTTCCCCTACTTATCTCACCCCTTCAACATATACCCTACTTATCTCACCCTTCAACTTCTCCCCTACTTATCTCAACCCTTGAACACACACACCCTACTTATCTCACCCCTTTAACTGCGCACCTACTTATCTTACCCCATTCAACTTCTCCCTACTTATCTCACCCTTTAACTTCTCCCTACTTATCTCACCCCTTCAACATATACCCTACTTATCTCACCCTTCAACGTCTCCCCTACTTATCTCAAACCCTTTGAACACACACACCCTACTTATCTCACCCCTTCAACTTCTCCCCTACTTATCTTACCCCTCCAACTTCTCCCCTACTTATCTCGCCCTTCAACTTCTCCCTACGTATCTCACCCTTTAACTTCTTCCCCTACTTATCTCACCTCTTCAACATATACCCTACTTATCTCAACCCTTGAACACACACACCCTACTTATCTCACCCCTTTAACTGCGCACCTACTTATCTTACCCCATCAACTTCTCCCCCTACTTATCTCTCAATCTCTTCAACTTCTCCCCTACTTATCTCACCCTTCAACTTCTCCCCTACTTATCTCAACCCTTGAACACACACACCCTACTTATCTCTCACCCCTTCAACTTCTCCCCCTAATGTATCATCACCCTCTTCAGCTTCTCCCCCTACTTATTCCTAACCCTTCAACTTCTCCCCCATCTATCTCAATTCACTTTTCAGCTTCTCCCCTACTTTATCTCTCACCCTTCAACTTTTTCCCCCTATGTATCTCACCCCTTCAACTTATCCCCTACTTTATCTCACCCTTCAACTTTTCCCCTAATGTATCTCACCCCTTCACAGCTTCTCCCCTACTTATCTCAACCCTTCAACTTCTCCCCTACTGCTATCTCACCCTTCAACTTTTCCCCTACGTATCTCACCCTTCAACTTATCCCCCTACTTTATCTCAACCCTTCAACTTTCTCCCCTACTTATCTCACCCCTTCAACTTCTTATCCCTACTTATATCTCACCCTTCAACTTCTCCCCTCTACTTATCTCACCTCTTCAACTTCTCCCTACTTATCTCAACCCTTCAACACACACACCCTACTTCTCCACCCTTTCAACTTCTCCCCTACGTATCTCACCCTTCAGCTTCTCCCCTACTTATCTCTTCAACCCTTCAACTTCTCCCCTACGTATCTCACCCCTTCAGCTTCTCCCCTACTTATCTCACCCTTCAACTTTTCCCCCACGTATCTCACCCCTTCAACTTATCCCCTACTTATCTCACCCTTCAACTTTTCCCCCACGTATCTCACCCCTTCAACTTCTCCCCTACTTATCTCACCCTTCAACTTCTCCCCTACTTATCTCACCCTTCAACTTCTCCCCTACTTATCTCAACCCTTGAACACACACACCCTACTTATCTCACCCCTTCAACTTCTCCCCCACGTATCTCACCCCTTCAGCTTCTCCCCTACTTATCTTAACCCTTCAACTTCTCCCCTACGTATCTCACCCCTTCAGCTTCTCCCCTACTTATCTCACCCTTCAACTTTTCCCCCACGTATCTCACCCCTTCAACTTATCCCCTACTTATCTCACCCTTCAACTTTTCCCCCACGTATCTCACCCCTTCAACTTATCCCCTACTTATCTCACCCTTCAACTTTTCCCCCACGTATCTCACCCCTTCAACTTCTCCCCTACTTATCTCACCCTTCAACTTTTCCCCACGTATCTCCCCCTTCAGTCAACTTCTCCCTACTTTATCTCACCCTTCAACTTTTCCCCCACGTATCTCACCCCTTCAACTTCTCCCCTACTTCTATCTCACCCTTTAACTTTTCCCCCTACGTATCTCCCCCTTCAACTTCTCCCCTACTTATCTCACCCTTCAACTTTTCCCCCACGTATCTCCCCCCTTCAGCTTCTTCCCTTCTTATCTCACCCTTCAACTTCTCCCCTACGTATCACACCCCTTGAACTCCTCCCCTACTTATCTGTCCCCTTCAACTTCTCCTCTACTTATTTTACCCATATCGTCACCTTCACCTTGTCTCACTTCTTAAACTTCCACCATATGTATCTCGCTTCTCAGACCTTTTCCTGCTGACTTTACTGACACTAGTCTATTGATGTCGCGGTATATCGGGACACTGCTGTGTCACTGAGATGCACGTCAGAGGGAACTCAACATGTCACTTGCCGAAACTGGGAGTACATTGTGTGTGACGGAAGTTCACAACCGCTTTCCTGTTTATTGATAAAAATACATCAAAGTGTGCCAGTGTACGTTTTGTTCCTCCTGTCACAGTCAGTGCGGAAACAGTACCATACTTTTTCAGACACCTGATATATCAACCGTTGGTTCACTGTAATAGTGACCTCGCCCGACCTGATATATCAACCGTTGGTTCACTGTAATAGTGACCGCGCCCGACCTGATATATCAACCGTTGTTTGTTCACTGTAATAGTGACCGCGCCCGACCTGATATATCAACCGTTGGTTCACTGTAATAGTGACCGCGCCCGACAGAAAGCAGACAGGAACAAAGGAAAAATTATCGTTTAAAGTGTTACCATGTAACATTCTTTGAGCCGGAAACTGTTTGAAACAATTATAGTTAAATTGCTTCAAGATCTCAATATTTTATGTCTGAAAGGAGAACCCAGGTAACGCCTTCTTAATAAAACACAATATTTCTAAAAGCATCGAGAATGCTCAGGATGCGAAAATGCAACATTCTGGGTAAAATTATTTTAGGATCAGTTTTTGAAACAGATTTGGTTTCCAAACCCAGCATCCCCCCACCCCATATAGGACATGTAGTGGTTTAGTTATAACTATATAGGACACATAGTCGTTTACTTGTAACTATATACATGTACACATATAGTGGTTTACTTGTAACTCTATAGGACATATAGTGGTTTATTTGTAACTATATACACATATAGTGGTTTACTCGTAACTCTATAGGACATATAGTGGTTTATTTGTAACTATATTCAATGCTTTATTGTACGAAAGGCCATAGGCCCATATACATTCGAGTTACATATATTTCTGAAGCAGAACAAAAATACAATGATGTTA